CACACGCACACACACAAACACTTGCAAAGGATCTTGGCCTAGGGAAAAATACTTGACTTATCAATTAGTCTAGCGTGTTGAAGCCAAACTTTTTGTTGATGGCTGAAATTTTAGGCCACTTGACGTCCTAATTTAGAGTTTGCCATAGCATTTTATTTTTCTGTTGATCATTATCAATTACTTGAGGATAAACAATAACTTAAGTTTGGGGGTGTGATAACTCCATAAAAAGACTATAGTTTGGGTCTTTTTACTTAAGTTATTGATTATTTAAAGTCACTGTCATAATATTTTAGTTGCATATAGTTGCATTTAGGACATTTATTACAGGTGGTGGAAAAGTTTTGCCTCGACTAGTTTTTCTTTATAAAACTGATACTGCTGATGAGAAGGGTTGTGTGTTGGCTATGATAATGTAGGAGATGGAAAATGACCGATGAGTGAGTTATTTTCTATTACAATTTTAGAGCGAGGGCCAAAGGAACTGATGATGATGACTGTGAGGAATTTTTTCCGTGGCAAGTTTTTCTTGCAAATCTGGATGCGGCAGTACAAGACAAAGTAGCTGACGTCGCACGACCAGCTGTCTAAGGAGCCTCACATGAATTTCCTGCCCCTGCTAATATCTTGGGACCACCGCCAGCTGCCTTAAAATCACATTTTGGGCTTGATTAAAAGGGTAAATGAGGGAATTTCAAGGGAACAAAAACCTTGAAATTTCCCACTATAAATAGAAAATGATGCCCACATTTTTAGGGATCCCTATAATTTCCATATTTTGAGCTTTTGGTGGAAGCAACACAATTTTCTTTATTTTTTTTCTTCTTTTTTGGTGGTAACCTCCATAGCCGAGCTTCATCGGGGTAGTAGCTAGGCCCTCGAGAGAGACTAGCCCTTGGAGCATTCATGGTGGTGGTCTAGGCATCACCGCAGCAGTTCCGTTTTAGGAGTTTCCTTATACTTTGCTTTCCATTTTCTTATCTTTGTTGGCCTTGTTTTTAAGGATTATCTTGTTTGAACTTAGCCACACCATGAACTAATCGATTTGGTGTTAGATTTATGATTAATATTTTTCATGTTAATAGATGATTTTTAGTATGTTTATGTTTAATGTTGTTTTGTTCACTGTTTTAAATTTATGTCGTGGCAATGTAAGAGCTCTTGAGAGATTGCCATTTTCCATAGCCTAACATGCTTAGTCATTATAAGTGCTTTCGAGTGATAGTCATTTTCTAAGTGTAGATACCTAATATCGAGAGAGTTAGGTTAGATCTACTTGAACAAAGGAACTAATCTGGGATGGTGAAGTTCTAATCTGCCTTAGAAATAAGGAGAGAGTTTCAATCGATTAAAAGGGATAGCACTCAACCAATAGGCTAGGTTCATAGTTTATGCCGAGAGGTATTGTTGTGACAAAAGTTTATCACGTTCCTTACTAGAGATAGCCTAAGAACACTTTAGTAAATCCTGTTGGGCAACATAGGCATAGGGTACTCGGTCATCCAGGCATAAAATAATTTCTCGCCATAGCAAGTCCAACCATTTACTCCATAGAAGCTTGTTTGTGTGAGGTTATCAGTCTATTTCCAGAGCTCAAATAAATTCTTGTCATAGCATATTTTTATTTTACTTGCTTCAGTGTTTACAGAATTTCTTGCCACGGTATAATTTTCCATTTGTTCATACAATATCTTGTCACGATATAAATTTCCTCATTGTGCATACCCTTTTTATATTTTTACCTAGTGACATCCCTTTGCTATAACATATTTTTTTAAAACTCTCCAATCCCTGTGGAGACGATACTCACTCACTACTATATTATTTGGTTGATTATGTTTATTTGCACATAATTGCGTGAGACAACACTATCTTTTTACACGCGATCAGATGCCTTTCGTTTTTGAAAATGGTATTATTGTTTTTGGTAATCAATCCTTAACCATCATATCAAATTGTTCAGCATGGTAATGCCTTTTGTAAATTGACGTATAATAATCAAGACTTCAGCTGCAGGGATTCAAATAGAAGAATGCAACTGTAATAGCGGTCGCCATTTCGCGGTAACGCCGCCGTCCGAAACTGATATTCGAAAAAATCATGGTGGGTAATGGAATCACGTCAATAACGGCCATTTGCGCCCGTAATTTAACGGGTAACGGTGTATAGCGCCGACAACGGGATGTTATTACCGTTATTTACCGCTACTGTGAAATAAAAAGGCAAAACTAAAACCTTACGTGCGCCATCGAGCTTCTCCGCCGGTGAAGAAGTTGAGCAGTAACGACGGGCTTCCTCTTTGTAGAAGATGAAACTTGAAACTTTTTTTTCTTTGTTTCAGAAAATGAAAGATCGGGGGGGGGGGGGAGTTGAGAGTGATAGCATAATTTTTTTTTCAGACAATGAAAGGTTGGGGAAAGGAAGGGGGAGTTGGCACATTTGTTTTATTTTTTTATTTGTTAAATATAATTTTAAAGGATATATTAATTTGACACCCCTCCTACCTTTTAGAATTTATAATTTAATCCCTAGTTTAAAATGTAAACTTTGATTTTTATTTAATTTAGTCCTAATTTCAGTAATATAAATTTTTGCAATTTAAATTTTATATTTTTATTTTCATTATATTTAATTTAGTCATTTTAAGGTAAGTTGTGCGACATTTAAAAAAATTCACGACCGCAAACGCTATTTAAATCCCTAGTCAGCTGCAAATGGAGTAAGGCGTGTTTGGGTTGATCAGAATGAATTGCTTTCAACTCCTTCTGTATCAGCTGTGATACGCGAAAGGGTTGGTGCAGATGCAAGTAATATTGTTCCAATGTCAGTAAATCTAGCTGTTATCATGTTTTCTTTACACTTTTTAGTATTGTTTTATTGTGAGAAGCCAGTGTATATGATTAAATTTTGACAATTTTAAGGTTCAACCATAAAATTCTGTTCCATGGATCCAAAGCAACTGGATCCTTTATTTTGACAGCTAGTCACAATCCAGGTAGCCCTCATGAGGTATGTCTCCAGGATTTTGTCTATTTTCTAAAATTGTTCTGTATGCAATATGTTAATGATGTATGATTGCTTTTGCTTTTGTTTCTTTATTGCAGGATTTTGGAATTAAATACAATATGGAAAATGGTGGACCTGCTCCAGAGGCCATCACTGATAAGATTTTTGAGAACACAAAAACAATAAGTGAATACTTGACGGCCGATGATCTACCAAATGTTTGTCTTGCATCCTTAAAACAATAATATCTCCATTTCTATTACATATATGTTAATGTTGTCAATCTATTGCAAAATCCAGGTAGACATCAGTGCAACTCGTATTACAAGCTTTGAGGGGCCTGAAGGACAATTTGATGTTGAGGTTTTTGATTCAACAAGTGACTATGTGAAATTGATGAGATAAGTTATTTCTCCACATGAATACGCTTTTGCCTATTATTTATCTTCCTATCTTTGGCATCTCGATTTATTAATTCTGATCAGGGTTCTATACTTGAAGCATATGCATGTAATCTAATTACCAAATCCTTTTGCCTATTCTGCCCAGGTCAACTTTTGATTTCGACCTCATCCGCAGGCTGCTTTCATCTCCCAAGTTTACATTCTGGTATGCGGATTTTGCCTTTATGCAGAGGTCTTTGTTTTCCTATACGGAATCAGATTTTGCTTGAGACGTGTAACTCTTTTCCCTCATATTGAAGCTATGATGCACTGCATGGAATTGCTGGAGCTTATGCAAATCGCATCTTTGTGGAGGAGCTTGGAGCACAAGAAAGTTCACTTTTGAACTGCGTTCCCAAGGTCTTTCAAGTTTTTTGAAGAATTTTAAAGACTGATATTTGAATGGATTACACCTTTTTTTATTATTATTATTCATCGATGTAATGCACATCAGGAGGACTTTGGAGGGGGGCATCCTGACCCCAATCTGACGTATGCAAAGGAGTTGGTTGCAAGGATGGGATTGAGCAAATCGAACTCTGAAGTTAAACCATCAGAGTTTGGTGCTGCTGCTGATGGTGATGCTGATCGTAACAGATCCTGGGAAAAAGGTAGTGCTGCGGTGTAGAAATCTAGTTAACATTCCTAACATTGATTACATCTACTTGGTTTTTCTCTTATAACTTGATTTCTTAGGTTCTTTGTCACAACATCAGATTCAGTTGCTATCATTGCTGCCAATGCCGTTGATGCAATTCCTTACTTTTCTTCTGGTTTGAAGGGAGTTGCCAGGTTTTATACTGCTCTGTTCATCTTCTTTTATGTGCATAAGATGTTTTTACCTTCTACCTATTTGTAATTTAGCTGGTGCACTGTCCAGCTAATCCTTTCAACTATCGATTACACCGGACTCACAAGTATACATACAATAAATGTAGAACTCATCATCTCTAAAGCTTATTAAAAAGGTCATTCTATATTTGAAATCTTTTACAAGGTGAATAGTGTTTGTATCCTATCTCTTTGACATGCTCAAGTGGATCTTTATGCTTATGTGGACAAAAATAACATAGTTTTGTTAACAAAACATATATATATATATATATATATATATATTTGAGGAATAACAAAACATAACATATAGATTTAAAATGTGAGAAAAAGGGTGGTTTGCGTTCAAGTATGCCTCCATGTTATTTGTCTTCATGCCCGCATGATGTGCTTCATCTAGCACTAGAACCCACTTTAGCTCAAATGCTATTCTAATCTAATTAAGAATAAAACATCACCAATGCAAAAACATCTATTCCACATTCAAACTCCAATATGTTTTTTTTCCGGTTCATCGCTTTGATTTTTAATTTTCGCTGATCTCCATTGAAATTGAAATTTAAGAATTATGTTCTGTACTTGCGGCTTGTAGGAGCATACCCACTTCAGCTGCCCTTGATGTTGTGGCCAAGCACTTGAATCTGAAATTTTTTGAGGTACTCCATGGAAAAGGTTTACTGTATCTTTTATCGTTAAAAGACAGCTACTTATCTATTATATGCTAGGCACCCCACTGGCTGGAAATATTTTGGCAATTTAATGGATGCTGGAATGTGTTCCATTTGTGGAGAAGAAAGTTTTGGAACTGGTAACTGTTTGTTATTCCAATCTGTATATCGATTTCATTTGGAACTCTAAAAACTTACAAATCCTTGTATTTGTGACAGGTTCTGACCATATACCCGAGAAGGATGGAATTTGGGCCGTTTTGGCTTGGCTTTCAATACTTGCATATAAAAATAAGGATAATCTCAATGGAAATAAACTCGGTAACTGTTGAGGATATAGTCCGCCAGCATTGGGCTACCTATGGTCGACATTATTATACTCGATATGACCATGAGGTATATAACATTTCTCTTTTTGTTTCTAGTTTTGTCCATATAGGTATCTAACTAATTCAGTTTCTTTCATGAAGAATGTGGATGCTGGTAAAATATGCAGGAGTTCACGGGCCGATTGGCACCTACTGTTATCACATAGATCCGACTACAAGTTACAGGTTGCCTGATTCGGCAAACATATAATAACACTTCTCAAGAGCCAAGGCCTGTTATTCAGCAGGGGTACCATGAGTACATGGAGAGTATAATAAATGACGGACACTGCTCACTCATCAAATTTTTTTAAAGGGTTCATGAAATGTAATTTGAATCTTCTCTGCTTTACTTTGGGGTTTAATTTGAATCTTTTTCTCACAACCTCACTGTCCCAATGGTTAAATAACATACTTCTAGTCCAATTATGAACATATATATAAAAATTATTTTAAAAAATCCAACAACCAGTTGTATATAATCCAGGCTGTGGATAGATATAATCTAATACGACATGAAGAATCCTAATGGATAAGGCATGAAGTTTCTGATTGATGTTAGTTGTCATGAAATAATGAAGAATTATTCAAAAATTATAAAAATATTAGACGTTGAAGCGGAAAAAGGTTAAAGAAGGCAAGTATTTGTGGAATGGGCAGCAGTGTTATCCAAACGAGAATGAACCCAGTTATCCGACCTTGTTCAACTGTTGATGATGAGACGAGCCATCCGCCTTTATGGCAACCTCTCAACAAGAATTATGCACTATTCACCCCCAAAAAAAAGTGCAAAAAGGCAAAAAGGAAAAAAGAAAGGTGGGGGGAATTATTGAGTAGTGAGGAATGACGGTCCGAGTTGACTTAAATTAAGAATATTCATGAAAGCTATAAGGTTAAGTTTGGCAAATTTTGGAGGCCAATTCTCATATGGACCCTATACATTCACGACTTAATTTGCACTTTGGAGGCATGGTATGACTGAAATAAACTCTGGATTAGTAATCTTCACTTTTATTTATTGTTCTCAATTATCTGTTATTTCAATTTCTTAAGTTAATTATTTCTTTCTTTCAACCTAGTTTTCTTTTAATATTTTACCGTCCTATTTTTTTTTAATCAGCGGCGACACTAATTTTATTGTTGGTTCCCTACCGCTAGTGACTATTAGTTCTCTTGTTATTTTATATTATGTCTTTTATCTTTTTTGCTTGAGTCTTTTTAATTTTGAAATCTGTCCTTGTGACATGATTTTTCTCTGCTCTTGTGGCACGATCCTTATGGTTGTTGGTACGTTTTTCGCATACCTTTGTGGTCGTTTTGGTTATCACACAAAAATCATCACGACATTTATTTTCTGATTGGTTAGCCGGTGGTCACGTATAATCATATACACTCTTTTGGTAAAAGAATATTAGCCGATGTAATTAGATTCTGTAGCGAAATAGCATGTCATATTATTTGGTTTGCTCTTCACTCCTCTATCATTTTGTCAATCGTCTCATTCGACATAGACAATTAGTTTTATGAAGGTTATTGGGTTTTGACGTTGGTCGTCATTCTCATTGAAATGTTTTAATTCTCTTCATATCTTTAGTTTTAATTTTTACTTTTGTATGAGTATTTTGGTGACTATTATCTCCAAATTTCTCTCTATATTTTGATTCCTTCCGTTATTAATAAAATCCAGTTTCCATTGTTAAAAAAAATTAAGTTATTTCATTTAATAAAGATATAAAAATTTACAATTATCTAGATATTTTTTGTAATGGTTTGTAATAAAGAAAATTCTACAATGCTCGACGAGCACCGCTGATCACCATTAATTTAATTAATAAAAATTTAAAAATTCTAAAGACTCAAAGTATAATTATCAATTAGTTAAAAATTTAAATGTAAATCATTTAATATAAAATATTAATTATATTATTTTCCATAATTTTTTAATAATTATTAAAGGTAAATTATAAAATTATTCGTTGTTAAAAAAATTATGGAAAATAATGTAATTAATATTTTATTTTAAATAATTTATATTTAAATTTTTAATTAATTTATAATTATACGTCAAGTCTTTTAGAATTTTAAATTTTTATAAATTAAATAATGATGCTCAGCGGTGTTCATCGTTAGTAGTGCTCAACGGTGCTCGTCGAGCTTGATAGACTCGTCTTTTTTATGTACGTGCATCTCATAACATGAGTTTTTACTCAATTTTTTTCTTGTCTTTTCCTTTTAAATGGGATTAAATTTTATCATGTCAAGATCACGACAAATAGTTTAACAAAATTAATGAACATCTAAAAATATGAAACATTATTATTTTAATAGTCTGAATGATTATAAGATAATGTTTAAAATTTTTCTTAACCTATTGTAAAATATATATAAACTACATATACAACTGTTTGAACTTAAGTCGTTTATGAAAAACAACATTCATTTTTATGACCGAAATCGCTCAATATATTTTTAAGAATCTAAAATGTCATGTCTCGTTAAAAAGAGGCCATCCCAAAACATATTTCATCCTTAAAGTATCTCATACCCCAAAATCACTATAAGTATTGATACATGTCAAAAGATTTATAATTCAAAAATATTTAAAAATATAACTGATTTATTTGATATTCAATATATCTATTTTTTTTTATAAAATATTTCAGTTGTGTGTGAAGGACAAATTTTCACTTTGTAAAGTGATTTCATAAGTTTGTCATGTTTTAAAAACGTTTAATTCGAAGATAAACCTTTAATTTAGTTGTGTTTATTTATTATAGATCTTGAAAAATTCTATCAAACAAATCTTTTAATGAAATATTTTTTAATAAATACAAAAATTTATCAAATTACTCTAATAAAATGTTAAAAGGTTTTCAACATCTATATTTTTGTTCACGCCATAATTTGTAAATATAGACATAGTTATACATACCATGGGATCTCTCACTTGTGACTTGTGTTGTAGTGTATACCTCATTAGTAGTACAAATTCATTAGGAAAGCCGACTACTAATAATACAAGTGTGGAAAGGAGGACTCAAGATATACCACACAAATAAGATACCTAATATATATATATACACACACAAAAGCTTTATGTTTAAAAAATATTTTTTTAGAAAAAAATATCTTAAAAAGTAAGAGATAACCATTGATAACCCATGACTTAATTTGTGGTCAACTTATTGAATCAATATTTTATATATATAATTGAGAATTATACATTAATATTATAATTTAATTATTTTTTTAAATTATTTGGATGATTATAATATATTATTTTTTAAAAAAATATTTCTAGTCATTAATATGTATTTATACCTTATAGATACAACTACTTGAATCTGAGAACTCTAAAAAAAAAACACTCTTTTTTGCGATCGAAATCTCTGATGAATTCATTTTAAATGTATTTCTAAATTGTACACAGATTCAAAATAAAAAATAAAAAGCAAGACAAACCCATGGAATTAATTATATTGATTAATAGTAGATGTACGATTACAATGTCATGAAATTAAGCATTAATGCCAATTATACAACACTTTTTTTTTTAATTTGACAATTTTATCTTTTTAATAACACCCTCCTATGTATTTCATCTATATAAGTATAAAGCTAAGTAATTCCAGCATAGGGTCGCTTTCCTAATTACATTTTCCAAATGGGAAAATCAACCCCATCAAAAGAAAACTATCACAGTCCAGCATCAAATGGCACTCCGGTGCCCGGAATCCAAGCACTTCCGGCCAAAAAGTTCCCCACGGTAAATTTTCTGGCTTGAACTGCACTTATAATATGATATCCACGCCATTTCACCCTTCCAACGGTACTTGCTCCGGCGCCGGTGTTCATATACTCAGCATAGTAAAGAGTTCTTAAAGCGAAGCCTCCACTCCACGGCAACCACCCTTCTCTATCGATCAGTCCGTCCAATGTACTCTTCATGAACACGGTTCTTGAATATTTCTTCCATGGCCTCCCCAGATAGCTCTTGAACGAACCTTGAACCGCCCTCATATCCGCCGCCGCAGTCACGCGCGAGTTGTGGATGACGATGCCCGTATTCTCGTTCGGGTCGGTTCTCCCTTGTGCCGTAACGGTGTTCTTTTGGCCGCTCATCGGTCGCCGGATGTATATATTGCAGTTCTGTAAGACGGCGACGGCGTCTCCGAATATGAAGTCCACGGTTCCGTAAATGTCGCAGTCGCGATAGAATTGGCGTTGAGAGTAAACGTATAAGGTGTCTTGGTAACCTTTGAAACTACAACGGTAGAAGACGGAGAAATCGGAACTGGACCGTAAGGCCACCGCCTGGTGTTTTTGCGGTCCGGCGGTGTTCTCGAAGGTTATATCGCGAGCTACGAAACCATCACCTGAAACACCTGAGAGAAGAAATAAAATTCAGAGCGTGAATGAAAATGATGTACGGAAAATAATTGAAGGAAAAGTTCTTTTGCCGAAAAGGTATTAAAAATACGTTTATTTAACTTTTATTTATTATATATTATATGTTCGTTATGTTGCACGTTTGCTGATTATCTTTTGTTTAATCATCATGTTTGATTATTGTTGGTGAAATAGGGGACAGAGAAAAATACTCAAAATTTACTATTACCTTAAGCCAATGTCATTTTATTTCGTTTAGGACTACGATAAATCAAGAGAGTTGATGGGACAATTCGTATTTATAAAATATTTATTTTTTTACGTAATTTTTTTTATAAATAATTTAATTTTATCTTTTAAAATTTTATAAATCCTATTTTTATATAATGATCATGATACGTATGCATGCTTCATGAAAGAGCTTACCAACGGTTGCCGAACGAAAAGTTGTTGTGGTTTGAGCATTCTTGCTGCCAGTAACAATGGTGGCGTCAACTCCATCCCCAATCAACATTATATTCTTAGCCGATCTCTTAATATCCACGTTTTCCCTATAAACTCCAGCTTTCACGTGTATAACAGTTCTTTTGCCCCCACCAGCTGCTGCCACCGCCTTCGTTATGGTCTTAAAGTTACCGGATCCGTCTTGAGCCACCACTATATCGGCTTTCGGTGCACCGGCTGTTCGCAGGAGCTTTCGATCCACGGTAGAAAGCCAAGCCGGAAAACCATCGGAAAGTAGGCGTCGATTGCCCACTTGTTTAGCGAAGTTACTATGGGAAGAAGAGGATGCAGCCAAGGTGGCCTTATTTATGGCTAGAGAATTGCTAATCAACTTAGTGAAGTTGCCTAACATGGCTGGTAAGGTTTGTAAATGAGAGGCTAAGTTGAAGTCAAGAAAGCCGTTTTGACAGGTTTGTTGGTTGGCAATTGCAGCACTTAGCCAAGTTTGAGAATCTATGGGATTGTTGGTGCTCTTAGATTGGTTTAGATGGTGAACGGTATCCTCATAGAGTTCTAAGCAATCGTTCCAAGCTAACTTGGCTCGCTCGTCGAATGAACTCGAATCAATCAACGAGATGAGCCGATGAGCATGAAATGCTTGGTTCAGAGTCACCTGAATGGCAAGATCACGGAATGAGAATCGGGTTTGACCGAGTTGTGCCGCAACGTTAACATTGTTTCCAATGTAATGGTTGCACACATCGGGGTACGGAGTTTGGGCACATGATGTTATTGAAACACTATTGGCACCATTCACAAAGTACCCCGGAGGAAAGGAGAAGAAATGGGTGAGGAAAAATGCTAGGACGACAAGCTTATCCATGAAGAAATTTTCTAAAAGTTTTTGGAGTTTGAAATCGATGAAGAAAGAGGGAGGGAAGAAGGGGGTTTATATAGAGGTAGAAATGGGTTAATTTGGTGGGACAAAAGCATGAAGTATTGAATGGGGTTTTCGGGGTTTTAGTCAAAATCAAAATACTAATTGGGCCATGCAAATGGCGTGCATGTCAAAACCGAATCTTTCGAGCTTTATTTATTGAGTAAATTACACCAATCATCATTGAAGTGTACTCTCTCTCATATTTCACTCACTATACTATAATTTTGTTCAATTTTTTTATCTGAATTTAATACAATTAACATTTTTGGTTACTCATTGTTAAATATTTAACGGCGTTAAAATGGTGATGTTTTAGAAAAACAAAATTTTCACCAAAACGACGTTGTTTTGTATTTATATAACAACTCATTTATAACTTCGTTTAGTGTGAAAACGGTTGAGTGACCAAAAATACTAATTATGTTAAATTCAGTGATAAAATTGAATAGATTTAAAGTATAATGAGTAAAACAGGAGAATGAGTAAAGTTTAGTGATGTTTGGTGTAATTTACAATTATTTCTTTATGGCTGTTTTTGAATGCCAACAACGGGTTGCGGCTAAACTAAACCATTGGGTTTTGCCATTTTCGTCCCTATTTATTTTACCCATAGTTTATTATCTTGATTTATTTTATTATCAAGTGTTGGCGCAGAATTAGAATTTGAATTCTGTATTAAAACTGATAATTACGGATTTTAAAAAGTAATTTTAATATTTATAATATTTTATAATATTTTATGTCATCGGATCTACATTTTTGCATAGAATAAAAGAAATATAAATCGTGAAAACACTGATTCACTAGTCTTTGAACCCTAAATAACTATCTAAATCCTTACTTGTAAAATTCAAGGGGGGAAAATCCTTAATTGTAGTAAACAGATGCGCCTTTTTTTTATTGATAGGGTGAAATCTTCCTCAGAAAATTCTAGAAATTGAAACTATCTAGAGACTATTTTTTTTTTAAATTAATCACTGGTATCCGATCTCTTGACCGACTAATACAGATCGGATACTGCAGAGGTGAGGGCAACCCTTCCAACCCAGTTTACTCCATTTGCAAACGCCAGAATTCGAACTCCTGACTTTGCTTAAAGGACCTAGTATCTCATCACACTAGACTAATAACTGATTTTTGGCACTAAAAATGTTTATTATAACCGTCAAAATCAATACTTAATTTAATATTCAGAAGATTTTCAAGAGGATATGATATCTACTAATTATCGACTTCCTTGGCCCCGTGAAGGACTTAAAAAAGTATCTTATTTTTAATATTTCTTCTTTTAACTTCATTTCCTAATATTGATATATAACTTTTGATATTCAATTTACTGATTAATGAATTTAAATCGTTTATTATAAAATCTTGTATGGATATGATATTTTAACCACTAATGATAGTAAAAGGAAAAAATATTTTCAATAAAATTTGAAACAAATTTAACATTTAGGATGGAAATGAAAGATGAGTGCCTTCATTAACTGTGATTAGGCGTAGAAGTTTCGATATTTAGAGAGATGGGTACAAAATGACCATACACTAGATTTCCAGATTCGCACGAAATAACATGTGAAAACTTGGTCGTTGATTGGGATATATGAGATTTTGATGGTGAAAACACAGAAATATATGTGATTTTTTAGTTGCCCTCCCGGTTTTAACGTTTTATCTTGATGAATTCGGATCGACTCATGTCGCATATTTAATTTTGGTGGGTGAGTCTCTCAGTATGAATTTTCTGTATACACAAAAATTCAAATTTAAATATTTAATTTAATAATATCAAGTTATTTATTACTTAAATCAACCATTGTTAATAGAAAGAGAGGTGATTTTGTATGCAATTGTTGCCGTTTTTTTTTCATTGCTTGAGCTTCTGCTTGCGCCACTTGGCTGAATTGGGAAGGATATGTATAAATTGTTTCAAAATATGCATACAGATGGAGATATTAATAAAGTAAAAGCACATGTGGATGATTCTAACTTTCATTAGCCATTCTCTCTTTTATTTCTCATTTTGTTCAAACGCTTACAAATGGATGGTTCTATGGTGTTATACGTGAAAATCCCTTTACAAAATATCTTCTGCTTCACCCATTGTAATTCTTTCATATATAAAGGTAATTCTCAATCATTTGACATTAAATGCTCATACTCCTATTAATTTTTATGTTTGAAACTAAACCTCAAAAAAAATTTATTTATCGTCAAAATCACTTAATTGGTGCAATATATAATATATTTGAATATTCAGAACAGAACAAGGTAATTTATGAACAAATTTCCAGAGTCTTAGGGGCTGTTTGTTTACTTCAAAATAATTAAACGCTGAATGATTCAAATACTGAATGATTCAAAGGCTCTGTATGAATTAGCTCTGAATGTGACATGCTGTTTGATAATGGCTCTGAATCATTCAGAATGTACTTCTATACTAAATCATTTAGAACTGTTTTGCTGAATCAGTCAACACTGAATCATTCAGAGGTACGAAACAAACGCGTTGAATGCTGAACGGTTCAACATTCAACGCTGAATGATTCCATTAAAAGGCTAACCATCCCCTTAATCTAGAATCCGGTCTGCCTCCCATGCCTCTTCTTTCCATTTCTTTCGCGGCTTGAACCACGCGGCAATGCTTCATGTACTCAGTATGACCCAATCCTAACAAAGTCATCTAATACACCAACGGAGTTGTGAGTTTATTGACAATGTGTATGACCTTATTCTTTCCTAGGCTAGTCAAATAAGGAAGCAAAACAACACTAACGAGAAAATTGACAATGTTAGCATGCCACAAAATTATCACGGCAAATAATAATTTCTCATTAGGGAATTTTTTCTTAATCTCCATTTCATTCCTTAGTTCTTTCACAATTTCTAGCCTAGAAAAATGAGCAGCTAGTTGGGGTTTAGGATTAGTAAATTCAATAGGATTCAAAGGTTCAAATTTCATACCCGGTCTAGCTATGGGTGAACTAGACTTACTCATCTCCTTTGGAATATCCTCGAGCTCCTCTTCGTCTTCTTCATCAAGATTGAAGTGATTATCACTGTATAAAAATCTATTGCGGAAAAATTCTGCAGTTTTCCTTTGGTCATCAACTCCTACTGATGGGAGCTTTTCTTTTGCCGTGGCAAAATATTTCTTATCTTCATTGGCTGCACTCTTCGAACCCTTATCGTTGTTGTACAGCAAATATAAATCTTCTTGCACCTTTAGATCTTCGTGCACAAACTCATGATCGGGCTCTCCGAGTGTCTCCCCCCCAAACTTAGCATCTTTGTAGATGTTGATGCCACTCCTTAAGGTGAATATACCACAATGCTCTATGTCTTGAGCCTTAGTGACTTCAGTATCACTAGGAAGACTGTCATTTGGGTAAGACGGTAATGCCATGGCAATTTGACCAACTTGACCCTCCAAGGCCCTCAAAGACGAGTTGTGACTTTGAAGCAAAGCTTCTTGGTTTTTTATAGAGGTTGTATGGTCATGCAACACGGTCTTCGTTATTGCGATAAAATCTTGCATCGTGGCCTCCAAAGAGCTTGCTTTAGATGAAGATGATACTCCCTTATTAAAATTATGCCATGGCATATTCATTTGGAAACCCTGGGAGTCACTGAAGTTTTGTTGCCTAGCGGGCTGACTAGAGTTGCTGGTTCCTTGATTTCCCCATAAAAAAGTTTGGATGTTAACGCCATCCAGGATTATATGTGTTAGAATAGGGGTTGTTTTTGCCTCAATTGTAGTTACCCACATAGTTGATGGATTCTTGATTGATCTGACACTCACTCTTATTGTGATTGCCGTGGCATAATAAACATGCTGAATTGGCCGCCTTCACTTCTCTCACCTCGCTTGGCCTTTGTAAGTTCTTCAATATATGGGTGATAGTAGCAAGTTGGGCGGACATCGTATCCTTAGAATCTAGCTCGAAAGCTCCATGTGATTTTTGCCCAAGTTCAAGCCTTGTAGATGAAAATTGATAATCATTGTTGGTAATCCTATCCAGAATGTTAAATGCCTCTGCTGGTGATTTGTCAAGTAATGTCCCATTTGCCAAGGCATCTAGCATCATCCTCGTGGACGCATTAACTCCATTATAGAACATCACAACTTGAGTCCACTCGTGGAATCCATGATTGGGGCACTTACGAAGCAAACTTTTGTGTATCGATCCTAACACTCATACATAGACTCTTCATCGCATTGATGAAAATATTCTATGGCATTTCTAAGATGGTTGTTTATATCGGGTTGATTATGCCATAGCAAAATTTTTTTGCACAAGTCGGCCCAAGACCTTATCGAGCCGGAAGGTAATCCATTGAGCCATGCCCTGGCGTGATCTTTCAAAGAATATGGAAATAACTTCAATTTCAGTACATCTTCATGCACACCTTGTTATCGAAAGCAGTCACAAACCTCTAAAAATGCCCGAACATGTTGCCTTGCATCCTCATGAGGAGCACTACCAAACTGTCCAATAAAGTCCAACATGTCGAACATAACCAGTTTGAGCTAGACGTGGGCTGCCTGAATCATGGGTGCCACAATTCCAGGATGTAGGTCGTCTATGATAGGGTTTAAATGATCTCGAATAGTACGAGGCCTAGCTGTATTCCCATCATTTGGAATTGCCTCGGCATTCTGATCTTCCACTTGACCTATTCTTTGATTTTCAATTTGGTACATCTTTGCTTGAGCACGTTGAGTATGTAAAATAACAGCCTGAAAAAGACAAGGAAAATAACAAGTAAAACTATACTAAAAATATTGAACAATTAAAATAAAAATGCTATGACAAAACTAATTAACTTCCAGTTGCCAATTCCCCGGCAACGGCGCCAAAAACTTGTCCTCTTTTTGTGAGTACTATAAATGAGTGCGACTATATATGCAAGTATACACAATCGAACAAGTAATAAAGTGATAAGCAGAGTATCGTCTCCACAAGGAATTGGAGAAGTCAAATAGGTTTGTCAAGGCACTTTACTTTGTCACCTAAGTAAAGTTAGTGATGGTATGTACAAATGAT